GAACAAGAGTAATTTTTTTCTAGTGTACGTTACTCGCTAGTAAATATTACTGATTTTTCTCCAGAGGATCTTCTATCTATAGGCAAGGCCTTACACTGAGACCAGAGGCTGTCCTTTTTGTATAACAGAAGAAATAGATAATGTTGTTCTGCAACACTTTTTTCCTGCAGTCCCCTAATGCCATTGCATTTATACTCTGAAAATTCCCAAATGTGATTCGTCATTGACCTGGAAACAAGGTACACTGATGGCTCTTCTGAACCAGCAGTTAATTCCAAGATGATGTACAAGCACACTGTGAAACACCACGACATGTTTGCCATGGGGAGACATCTAATACCTCTTCTCAGACTAATTCAAATTTAACTCAAGTTAGAAATGAATTGGAGGATTGCTGCTTACAGTGCAACGGCTCTGTTCTGGCTTTTAAAAGTAGATTCCACACTGTGACAGTGCATTTGCAAGAGCATTTTAAGCTTGTGACAAAATACAAACAGAAACTGGCTTATGAACTCAGTGATAAATGTTTTTGCAAAACAACCAGGAGAACAAAATAAGGATAAGTGCACTCTTCATTGGCCTAAGTGACAAACTCATGAAGCGTGTGGAACATCTACAGGAAAATGAAAGTGTGTGAGGCCAAAATCATATTTTGCTATGAACTTTGCATCTATGCAATCATCAGAAGTTGGGGCATCTGTGTGAAATAGCTTTATAAGAATTCTGATGGTTAACTCGTAGCAAAATCTTGAATAGCTTTAGATGACAATGCATGGTACAGATTATCAATAAATTGGTGATCTTCAGATTCCTCACTGCAGGCTTAGTATTGCCATGCATTGAGCACTTGAGCTTCTATCAGCAGGGAAAATAAGGACACTCACATCTAGAGAAGTGCTTGTGCTTGACAGTGTCAAAAAGGAGAACCACTGTTTACTAACAGAGTACTGAACTTGCACTTTGGCTTTGAAAATAAATGATACTGTCTTTTTCAGAAACAGTGTCGTCTCCCCTGTCATAGATGTCATAGACTGGAAGACTTTTCAGTACTATCATTCTGTGGGCCTGCACCGGGGAGTTTTTGATTGGAAACTCGATTTTCATTGGGAACCAGTGCCAGAGCGTGAAGAGAAGGTACGACAGTCTCCCATCAGCCCTATCAGGTAACAGTCCATCAGCCAATATGCCTCAGCTCAGCAGCAAAACTGTGCAATTTGGTTCATCTTCCAGCCAACAGAAGAGAGACATGCTTACTTGCATATGTTCAGTTAACCTTTTTTGAAGGCATAGGTTTTTGGTTTACACTGAGTTTGTTTGGCCTTTAGTAATCATTCTAACTAGATTGCAGTCATACTTTCAACATGACAAATATTTTCCACGCTTTGAGACAAGTAGTATACAACCTGACCAGGC